GTGTTTGTTGCCACTACAAGGTTTGTAGTAACCAGATTTTATGTGTAGGCCTACCCACCAAAACCGAAAGGTTTGTAAGAGTTACCAGATTTTTGTGTAGGCCTACCAACCCACAATAAAAGGTTTGTAACAGTTACCAGATTTTCGTGTAGGCCTACCCACCCACACTAAAATGTTTGTAAGAGTAACCAGATTTTCGTGTAGGCCTACCAACCCACACTAAAAGGTTTGTATGAGTTACCAGATTTTCGTGTAGGCCTACCCACCCACACTAAAAGGTTTGTATGAGTTACCAGATTTTCGTGTAGGCCTACCCACCCACACTAAAAGGTTTGTAACAGTTACCAGATTTTCGTGTAGGCCTACCCACCCACACTAAAAGGTTTGTAACAGTTACCAGATTTTCGTGTAGGCCTACCAACCCACACTAAGTTTGTAACAGTTACCAGATTTTCGTGTAGGCCTACCAACCCACACTAAAAGGTTTGTAACAGTTACCAGATTTTCGTGTAGGCCTACCAACCCACACTAAGTTTGTAACAGTTACCAGATTTTCGTGTAGGCCTACCAACCCAAACTAAGTTTGTAACAGTTACCAGATTTTCGTGTAGGCCTACCAACCCACACTAAAAGGTTTGTAACAGTTACCAGATTTTCGTGTAGGCCTACCAACCCAAACTAAGTTTGTAACAGTTACCAGATTTTCGTGTAGGCCTACCAACCCACACTAAGTTTGTAACAGTTACCAGATTTTCGTGTAGGCCTACCAACCCACACTAAAAGGTTTGTAACAGTTACCAGATTTTCGTGTAGGCCTACCAACCCAAACTAAGTTTGTAACAGTTACCAGATTTTCGTGTAGGCCTACCAACCCACACTAAGTTTGTAACAGTTACCAGATTTTCGTGTAGGCCTACCAACCCACACTAAACGTTATGTGGGAGAAGCCAGATTTTCCCTGTACACTCTTAGCTGTGTTCATGTTGCCAGATTGCCGATTTAAATTCGAGATAATGCAAGATTTGATACTGCTGGCCGTTGACCGTGATGATTGATCGCTTATCAAACTTATCGCTTTCGTGGACTACTGGCCTCAATAACTGGTTACCTTTCTCCACTGTCCTTGAAATAAAACAAGAGGGACGAGCTTGAAGTCACAAGCCAATAGTGGACAAGCTAAATTTTATGAGGGCAACTATGACTTACATTGGCGGGGACCAGGATTTTTTTTTCATTTGGGGTGGGGGATTCTTATATATATATATATATATATATATATATATATATATATATATATATATATATATATATATATATATATATATATAGCAAAGTAGCATTAATAATGATATTGCAGATACCACGTTAAAGTTTCATGGGTGTAAAAGCTAAGACTGTTTATTGGCCTTGAAGTAGATTTCTGATTATAGAGTGGCAAGTGGAAAAACGATCGTAGTGGCAGTGATGTAGAACTTCTGACTATACAGTGGCAGTGATATAGAAGGTTTAGTTGTCAGAAATAACTAGATCTATCTTTAATGAAATTCGTATGTCGTCGTCTTTTCAAAAGATTCCGAAGAAGAGAACACTCCCCAGGACCTTTTTAAGTTCTCAATAGAGGTCTTCTTCCGCAGCAAAAATATAATGAACAACAATCGATAAATGCGCCAGTATCCACGGGTTCTGAGAGAGAAGCCAAACCCTCAAGACAAACAATGGGGGGGGGGGGGGAATCATTTTCCTTGAAAATCAGCAGATTTGCTGCATTTATATAAGTTTGGATTACGCGATACTACTGTGTCATGTTTGGTATCGTCAGAAAGCTACGCATTTCTTCTACCAGAATTTCCCAGCCAAAACTAGCTCTAATAGCCCTTTTGTCGTGAGTAGTAATGACGGGGGCTGTTTTGGCAGGAGCCTAAAAGATGGGAGCCTTTTTTCGGGAGCCTTATTGACTGGAGCCCTTTTTCGGGAGCCTATATGACGGGGTCCATTCGTCGCTGGCTCTTTTGACGGGGTCGATTAGACGGGGCTGTTATGTTGGGGCCGTTTTGTCATTGGCCGTTTTGACGCCGCACGCACTGACCGCCATCCTGCCTCTGGTTTACACTACACCGGACAACAATGCATTACACGTATGTCGATTCAAGGCATCGAAATCCTTTGTTTAGTTTCACGACTGACAGCAATTTCTCTTTCAAAGTAGATCTAGCTGTTTACTTTCGATTTCGTCCAATGATAAAGGTAAGGAAATATATGTATAGATTCTACATTCTATTAATACTTTTACAATATCTGATTGAACTGGTTATTGACTAAAATGGCAAACTCGAGAGAAAATATGACGATCTCACAAATGCCTTAGCTTTAAGGCCTAAGAGTTGTCGGCATCGGCAGAGTTCGCGGTAAAAACATGACCCGAAATCTCGCATTACTTTCTGATGCTGATACCGGGCGCACGAACTTTTGTTTTGCATACTACTAGGCCTAATGAGTTTTTAATTTATGTTAAGTTTAAAAGGTCATTTCCTCGTGTTAATTAAAAAGTAGAATGATTTTCACTTTGTTTTAAAGATAATGCCAATGGTTTTGCAATCTGATTTGCATGCTGTCTCTGCTTTGGTCTTACCCCTGTATAAAGGTTAGTTTTTAATGCATTAAAAACTTGAAGTTTCCTCTTAGATAAAGAAAGTGGTAATCTATCGTTTAAGGTGCGTAAAATCGGCTGAGGCTAGATCTAGTAGTAATGTAAAAAAAATTGCCTCATTGTCAAGTAATTACGTAATACTTTGTATTGACGCCGAATTCCTTGCGTAAGAAAATACAATCAAACAGAAAGAAATTCCACGTGCGGTCAAGTCAACATGTCTCGAAGACTTTTCAAAATTACACACCGGATTTAAGTGGCCAGGTGCTTACATGTTGACCTGCATCTACAGATTACACAGAAATAGAGTTCAACCGGAAGCAAGCCAAATCGCCATGAATTCCCTAACAAAGTCGGTTGTTAGGCACGCCGCGCAAAAGCCTACAAAGCCGTTCGCACTCAAAACTTTAAGTAACCTTCTGTTGTAAGTGGTAACTCGTACGCCGAGGCTTCGGCCATGCTCTCTTGCATCCAATTCGCAGGGGACATCAGAGAAATGAACATCATATCATCGTCGGCGAGCAGGATCTTGGGTGTTTCAAGTTTGTATCTCCTTATCGTAGGAGAATCTTCGAGTGTTGAGTTCCGCGATCTTGATAGCAAACCATCACTGATGCGTGAACTTTTGAAGTTTTCAGGTAAATATAACTTACCTGCCAGCTTCAATAATCACTCATTTTGTGATAAACCGCTATCAAGTGAGTTGTACCCCGCTAGCATTTACTCAACGTTTTATGTGAGATACGATAACACTTTTATGAATAACTCAACCTTGAATGATGCACAGGCTCACGCGTTTCCACTATCATGTAGATCTACTAGATCTACATGAGAATGTAGATAGATCTACATGAGAATGTAGATAGATCTACTAGATCTACATGAGAATGTAGATAGATCTACTAGATCTACATGAGAATGTAGATAGATCTACATGAGAATGTAGATAGATCTACTAGATCTACATGAGAATGTAGATAGATCTACTAGATCTACATGAGAATGTAGATAAATCTACATGAGAATGTAGATAGATCTACTAGATCTACATGAGAAAGAAAGGATTCAAGATTTTATATGTTAGTCCTAAACCCAGTGGCTTTTGGACAGACACATAAAATCGTGAATCAATTCTATTTTCTTTCTCATGTAGTACATGAAAGTTAAAAATAAGGTTTGTATTGTTTGGAAATTCTTAAATATTTTTTTTGAAATAACAAAACAAAAAGAAACTTGCTATGTAAAAATTAAACAAAATAAAGCTAGACTCTTGTTAAAGTTAAGGTGGTGGTGATGTAGAGCTAAGACGGTAGTAAAATCCTTAATTTGTAGTTGCAGTAACCTGGAGATTGATTGTAATTCGTGAAAATTTTTCCTTGCTTTATACAAAAAGGCTGGTACGTAAACAGTGTAAATAGACACAAAAATTTCAATAGGTATTTCTGCTCAATAATCACATTGGTTATCCAATGAAAAGTAATGGCGGCTCACATCGTGACATTTGATGTATGTCACCAGAGTGGGTGCATCATCTTGAAACAATATGTGGTAATGCATTCAATTCATGGGAGGCACCACATATTTTGCTGTTGCCCCAGTATGTTTACTTATTATGTGGGGGTGAATAATGTAAAATTAACAAGGAAAATTTTAACAGAGAATATGTAAACTCTTCAGTTGATAACGCTTGTATGGTTTGTTAGTAATAAATTAAATCCCACTAAATAATAGCACAACTATTATTTATTGTATGGATAATTTACATAAAACAAATAATGTCAACAACAGCACTTGAATGCTAAGATACTGTAATAAATGAAAAATGAATTTTACATTGATAAAACAATATGTACAGTCTTATAAAAGACAAACAACTTTAGCATCCCATCCATTCTATTTTTTCCTAATACAAGATGACAATATTCATATAAAAAAATATCTTCTATGCTGTCATAAAACAAGGTTAACCTTCAGTAGGGCTGCCTACCACCCACAAATATTTTCAAAGTAAGTTAACCATTGACCTTTCTGGCAATGCCTTGACCGCCTTAATATATAATTTATTACTTGAAAATGCTATAGAAAAAGAATACTGAAACTGCTGAAAATCTTAGTATTACAAAGAAATAAAATTGTACAAGTAGTCAACTCTGCTATTGTATCTACTTTCAACAACTGACACTATTTTAAGAAGAATAATGTATGACATTTCTACAAGAAACATATATACACCTCTATGTGACATCTAGAGTGGAAAGTTAATCCCATCTAATTTAAATGGAGTCTTTTGTGCCCTTTCATAGTTATAAAAATGGTAAACGCTCTAACTGGTTTTTTTTTTTTTAAATTTAAGTAAGTATTATTTCAGTCCATGCTATTGATAACATTGATGAAAATACATTTTTAGAAGCTCAGATCTAACTTGGAAACAGGTAGAGATAGAGGACTGGTGTTTAGGCCTAGTTGTGTAGATTGTGTCAAACATTTGACACAATTAGAGAGTGGCAATACACAATAGCATTCACTTCCCATTTAAAAGTTGGGTGTCGACATGTTGGTGGGGTGAACATGTTGTTGAAGCTGTAAGGGGTCTAAGTTTTTGTAGGAAGGTAAGTTGGGGAAGTATGCATGTCCAACTCTTTCACAAGCAATTTCCCTGTTAAGTTTCAATGCATAGATGTTAACAATCGTGACTATTGTGAGACCTGTTACCAGATTCATGAGCATTAAAGCTTGGTAAAGAATATCATCCTTCATTGGGCCCTGGTCATTTCACATGTGGCACCTGTATTTGTTTTATGTAAAAGAAATTTAATGTGTATCCTTCACTGATAAACCATGTGAGCAAGTATTCTATTTTTTACAATTATAGGCTCAGGCTAATGTTTTGATACAATAACGTGGAATTTTAACCCAATTTTATGTACAAAAGTAAAAGATGAGAGGCGAATTTAATGACTGCTATGACAAATGAAATGCAAAAGTATAAAAATCTCTGGGAAAAAAATGATCATCGCCGCTCTCTATGATGCCTGTTGGTCCTCTCACGTTCCCTCTCTCTTTCATGGTCCCTTCTATCATATTCTCTGTCACTTCTGTGTTCCCTGTCATGTTCCCTGCCTCTGTCACGCACACGTTCATGATCTCTCTCACTCCTCCTTTCCTCCCTACTTCTATGCTTAGAATTGAGTCCATGTGTAGTTCGTCGTAGAAAATCATCCACATCTCTCTCATACTGAAGGAAAAGTTTGAAATTCTATTTTAAACTTAAACTACTCATATAAATCAACTTGATTATTTAAATTATCAAACAATTAAGCAAAACAGATCAACCCTAATAAAGTAAGAACCCTAGCAATGAGAGAAAAACATGTAGACAAGCTTACAGAACGTTTGCTGCTTGAGTCTCCATTTCTACTTGTGCCAAAGTCACTGGGTCCCATAGGATAATTTCCTCGTGGTGGTCTTTCAAACTGAGGACCAAAACCACCTTGCTCAAAAAATCCAGGTGGCTGAATAAAATATAACAATGTAGTAGTGACATTATCAAACATGCTTAAATGTTGGGAAAACTTTTAACAGCTACTACTCATTTTACCTCCAAAAATAGTGAGTTAACAAAACAGTCTAATTCATAATTTTCATTTACTTTCATTACCAAGTAATAGATACTCCTATTTCAATATATTTAATCTGTTTAAAGAACTTGAAAAGAGATGTGTATACAACGAAATTGATTAAATTTGGTTATTAAAGTGGTCTTTTTTTTAACAAAAATAATCAACACATCTCCACATATGGCTGCTTCATTTTTTTTATTACATTTTGGGAATATACAAATACAACTATACAAATAATTTGCCCAATATTATTCTAGAAATAACAAACAGGGTTTTAAAAACCAAACATAAGTCAGGAAAACATATCATTAAAAAGTAATAGTTAAAATGCTTATTAATTTAAACTTGGGAGTGTGATTGTATTGCATTAATAATAGTCATATCATTATTTTTATCCTTTAAAGCTTTTACAAATTGAAAAAACGTTTTAACTAGTTGTTAATAAATCATTGACCCTCGTGGCAACTCAGCATTAATATTAATTGTGAAGCCTGTTTGCCTCAGGTAATGGAAGGTGCTGATAGCTAAACAAGTGCAATGGGCTGCAGAAGTTTACTTTGGGATGGTAAATACTTAAACAGGAGTCATTAAAATTAATTTTGAATTATTGTAATAGGACTTTAATAAATACAATTAGAAGTAATTTGCTTAAAGGTATTTTAATTGGGTAGAGTATAAAATAGTTTGACAACAATTATTGAGATTTTTAAAACATCTTAAACCATCCAGGATTTGTAAAAGCCCACACAAGATGTAATAAAGCAGATTTTAAATTAAACTAGTTCTTCTAATAAAATTACTTATGAAAAACAAAAAAACATAACAAAAAATGATTATCAAACAATTTCATTAAGTAATTTACAAAATTACTGTAATTGTTAAAAATGTTACTATTTATTTTTGAAGATTATTTTTTGTTATTAGTGATGTGGATAGTTAAAGTGCACAAATAAAGAACCATTTCAAAACAAGTTGTTCAACTTACAGGACCAAACTGTGCCATTGGGTGCGGTGGAGGTGGTCTTTGGTTAAATTCTCTCATGTAGTCAGAATATGACTGAAAGAAAGAACAACTTACTCATGCCTTCATTCGACTTTTTCTCTTGTCTTGTCTTCAGGCATAACTTTTAATTAATTTAACAAGTATATTACTTACTTACTTGTTTCATTTACATAAATTTAAAATAATTCTTCCGAAATCCATTCCGAAAATAGTTTAATTTGATGAGAACAAAATACATTATATTATTAGTTAGTATAAATGAATTTTTAAATTAAAAATGTTAAGGAACAAATACCTTTTTTAATGAGGATCTAGGGACTAAATGCTATATTTCCCTGTTACAAACACCCATAACAAATAGTTTAAAAGTAAGCTGTGTTATACATTTAGTATTGTGTTTGTAATGATAAAATTCTTCTTTAAACATACCTCTAATAATTTTTTTATTCATAATGTTAACTATGCACTAAATTTTACATATTCGATAACTGCTGATTATTTGAAATTGAGGATCAAAACCATTCATGTGTTACAGACATCTCAAAAATTGAAACTAATTATTTAGCCAGCGATTCAGACAATTTTTCAGCAATGTCAAGGTATGTCAAAACATAAATCATGCATTTGAGTAACAAAATGTATGCACAACATAGCTACAGACAAAGTTATCATTCAATACAGTTAAAAGGCGCAATCCATTCAGCAGCAAAAAGATTTTGAGTTTTCAAGTAGCAAATTAGAAAAGTACAAAGAGTTGTAAGTGGGAATGATAAGCTATTTATAGGATTGTTGTTTTTTTTTTTAAAATTGGTGTCCTTTTCATTAATTGACCATTGAGAATATTTACAGAAAATTTCTTCTATGTTTTTTTGTTAGTTCCCCTAACATACCCCATTTATAAAAGTGTCTCTTCTCACCCCTGCATATCTTGGTGACCTGAAATGCAAGGAAAAAAGTGTCAACAACATATTATATCCTTTATTTATCTTTAGCAAAAGATGTTAGCAAAAAAAAAACTAATTAGAACCAGTTTATTTTAAAAGTTCAGACTACTTTCAACTACATATGCCAAGTTATCTCAAAAATAATTAAATAAAATGTTTATGTAAAATCACACCTTTCCATTCTGCGATCTTTGTAGAAAGCTGCAATAACAAAATAAACTTGCAAATAATACTTTAAAAAAATTTAAAACAACTTGAACAAAGCATTAAATTATTTGTAAGCATGTTAAAAAGTAAAATGAGTATCAGTATCATTCATTAAAAAACTGAGTGGTTAAGAAAGAAAATCATTACGCAAGTTAAAATAAATTGGTGAAATTTTGGCTTTGCAATGTCGGATTTCTTATAGGTCAAAACATTTAAGTATTTTAATGTCAGGTCAAAAAAATGTTTTACCTTCAAAATTAACATATTTCTAAAGTTAAAATGCCCTTAGAATTAATATTTTTAACAAATTTTCTCAAACTTTTTCAAAACTATAAAGTAAACTATAAACAAAAGTATAAAGCTTTCAAAAGTATAAAGCTTTCAAAAGTATAATACTTACGCTCTCTGTCATAGTTGCCACGACTTCGTTTAGATGGTCTTGGATTGGGCCCTTCAAAAAATTCATCCCTACTTTGTCGTCTTCTAATATTAGTAAAAATAAATAATTCAATGTGAAATGGGCTTTCATTAGAGAATTAAAATTATTAGTTTGCAATTACGATGAAATAACTGGAAGTCAAAATAAAACAGGGAAAAATTGGATTCATCAAAAAATTGCAATAAAATTTTAATAAATGTTAAATCAAGTTTGAACTATTAAATAAAATCTGTTTGAATAATTAAAAAAAAAAATGCAAATATCCTGTAAGCTAATACATAAGATTAAAACCAAAATACATTATTGACAGAGACTTTTGCGTGTAATTTATATTGAAATGTTTTTATATACCATGATGGGTTTGTGATTGCATGAATGCTTGTGTCTAAAACTGCATGAGCAAACAAAGTGGCCCACATAAATTAAACCATATTTTCAATACTAGATGTTAAGTAGTTCTGTAATGACAAGGTATACTGAGAAAAACACAAAATGGGAATTCAGTGATAATACATTGTTGCCTCTTATGCTGATTTATGAACAAAGTTGTATTAAGCATATATATATATATATATATATATATATATATATATATATATATATATATATATATATATATATATATATATATATATATATATTTATATATATATATATATATATATATATATATATATAAAGGAAAATAATGTATAAGGGTCATAAAGAACTTAAATATATTTTTTGTTACTTTTTTTTAAAAGTGATTCTAAAAAATAGGCATAGGATTTGATGATGAGCAACATAGGGGCAAGGGGTAAATTTGATGACAAATATATAATGAGTATGCACAATGAGGATGGGGATGAAATACTATGACAAATTTTAATTAATTATAAAAATGCTTGGTTGCCAGTCTTTAACTTCCAAGGCTAGCTGATACTTTATTAAAAAGAAATAGTTCATTTTTTAAAATATAACTATATGAATGATGTAATTTTTTTTAAAGCAGACAGAATCAGAAAAATATAAAATTCCTTTAGTGCATATTTAAACTATACGGAAAGCAAGTGTATCCATTCAAAATGTATGAGTGAGATGAAGATCAATGAGATGATGATCAACTAATGCTAAGCAGAGGATCAACACAAGACAGGACAAAGACATTTTGAAAACACAAAACACTCATAAAATAATTTAAACAGTAGAAGACAAAAATGTAGAAGCTGAACAAACAATAATCATACCACAGTGCTAAGCATACCATCCAAACAGCACGTAAGTACTTGAAATTACTCCTTTTCGAATTAGAATAAATTTTTCAGTCCAATACCAGGGAATCAACTGATGGATCCCTTAATTACACGACCATATTTTGAAAGTGTCCTTTAATTCACCGCTTATTCTGAATCTGAGTCCTTTTAAAATTTTTAAAATTTTCATTGACTAGTCGATTTGAACAAAGAAACGCTCTAGACCCAAACCATGTCCATTTTTCACTATCTTGTAAATATTAAAAAAAATATATACCTTAAAACTTTGCATCAAAGTTTGAATATTTCAACTAAATGGAAAGTCCTGACCTGTAATACACACCATAATTTCCAGTTCAACTGATGTTAGTGAACTTTGTGAATTAAAAAAGTGTCCAATATTTATTTAAATGTCCATTAAATTTCTTTTCCATTTAAACCACAGAAGTTCATTAGATAAGTCCTTTATCTTGAACAAGTATTGAGGGAACAAAAATCCTTTCACAATGTCCAAGAATTTAGTCCCGTTATGTCGTCTACATTGAAAGTAGAGCCCTTTAATTTTTATTAAAACTCCACTGTAGATAAGAGCATCACCTAAGATTTCGGAGTACACGAAATTTCTCACAACGAAAAATGCGGACATTTAACAAAGCTTTATCTAGTGCATGAGGCTGACAAGATATAAACGTGTGAAACATTTTCCCCCTTTTTAAAGCAAAAGGCTGTTTTGTGATAATCATTTACCTAAGAATAATGGTGTTTACCTATCGTACTGAAATTCATAAATTGATAATTCTAGTCAAGTCCAGTTAGCTTAAGATGTCCTCAAACAACACAGAATAGTCCAGAACAGTCCAATCACAACATTTTAAAAAGGAGAGATCCGATGTCAGAAAAAAATCATCCAGTGCAATTTAAAATCTCTCATTCCAATAATCCTTGAAGAAAAAAAATTCTTGTCTAGTATTTAGATAACTAAGAAGAGAAGGGGACAGACCATTTTTTTTTAAATTGAAATTAATTTTACCTCACAGTTATAGTATAAAACTTTTGCTTAATTTTAAATAGTCCAACAATTATATATTTTTATTTGTGAAAGAATTATTCTTTACTTAGTATGTACCATAGCTTTTAGCTTCACTTTCTATGAATATAATTAACACAGCAGAAATTCACAGGAGAATTCTACGACTTCTTCGTACTGAACGAGACTGCAGTACACTGCAGCATTGTATTGGCAGTTGGAAACTAACAGCCAAGCAGATGATTTTATCAAATCATAGCCTAAGCTTTTCACAACAGTTCATCATATTTCACGACAGGTAGAAACCAGCTTATCAGGCTCCTAACCTGGAAAACTCAGGCCCAGGAGGCATAGCTGGCCTCCTAGGGCCCAAAACACGTGGTGCTCTTTCCCTGAGATCTCGTTCTGCTGGTTGACTGTGACCTTTCCTTGCTTTCCGTACAATGTCTGCTATGTCAAGATTTTCATCTGCTGGGAACAATTTGCAAAGACTCTCTCCACACCTTGGCTCTATTTCCTGCAAGAAGTATTGACAAGTTTACAAGGTATTTTGAACAAGTAAATGGAGTTTTCAAAAAATGTAATAAACAATTTTAAAAGAAAAAATCCAAATGAGTCAATATTAATTTAAAAAAAAAAACTTATGTATTATAGTTTTTAAAAAAACAAGACACTTGCCTGACCATCTCTGCCAATTTTTACTCTTTTGTTATCATTCCAAATGTTGAACAAATGATTAGTTTTGGGAAACTCAAGATCTCTTCTGCAAAATTTGAACTTTGAGTATTGACTGTGAAACAAAGCAACTGAATAACAAATACCATAAGTAAGTTATTATTTACCTTGTAATCCAATCAAGTTTGAATACACCACTTAATGCACGTGAAGTCATTCCAGGGGGCAAAACCCAGCGTATAGAGGGATGATCTTTAGTGGACTCCTCAGCCAAACGTGCAAATCCTTTTATGGATAGAGATTTCAAGTTCATTATATTATTACAAATACTGATTGAGATTACATTAATCTATTAAATTATTACCTTGAAATTTTCCACTTTCTTTCACAGAAAATATGAGTATTACATTGTCACATTCCTAAACAGAAATATTAAAAAATATTAGTTTTGAATAACTACATGTGAAGGAAATATTGAAAATCTAAAATGACAAGTTGCACTCAACAACTGAATTTTTTAAAGTATTTTTACAAATACAAAAAAATATTTACCCTAAAAGCTTGATTGAATCGAGCTTCATTTTGTGGTGGGGTTGACCAAACACCTTTTGCTTTAGCTAATGCAACATTTTCATGATTATTACTTTTCACTAAAAAGAAGCGGGCTCCTCTCATAAGATACTTTAACTTGGACCAGTATTCTGTTAAAGACAACAAAATTAACGTTTTCATTTGACTGAAGTTGAGTATTAAAAAAAATTGGTACACTGGCTGAATATTAAAAAAGCAAAGATGTTTATAGTTTTATCTTACGTCTATCCTCCTCTTTGTCTCTACTTTTGCAATCTTTTGATGAACTATCACCTAAATCTCCTAAACTTTCTTCTTTGGCCTTGTTCTTGGAACCTTCACTTCTTCTGTCCCATTCAATTGGAGAGATACCCCTTTGACGCTTCCTATCTACTTTGTCGCCTAATTTATTCCAACATATTTTAAATGTTTACTATTGTAGAGGTAATATAACTCAACATAAAGAATAATTAAAAAAAAGAAAAATAACAATTTTAACAGATCTATATATTTTAATTCATAATCAGACATTTTTATTCTCATTTGAGTACACTGAATAATGAAACTAAACAATGACTAGAAGTAAAGTGATTTGATTTAGTGAGTGATGTAGTATAAATTGGTCTAAGAAATAATATATACATAAATTGTTTAAATTATTTTCTCTTTAAAAGTTCAAAGGCTACCTGGTTCTGTATTGCCTTCTTCAGAATTAGCACTTAAATCTAACTTTTCCTTTTTAACACCATCAGGCTGCTCCTCATCTTCTTCCTCCTCTTCCTCATCTTCTTCATCATCATCCTCTTCCTCTTCATCTCCTTCCTCATCACCATCCTCTTCTTCATCCTCCTCATCTTCATCATCATCATCCTCATCTTCTTCTTCATCTTCATCATCTTCTGAATCCTCTAAATCTAGAAAACAATACAGAAAAATATAGTTACCTGGAATTATATCAACATACATCAACATAATGTCCAGCTGACATTTTATACAGCCTTTAAAAAAAGGAACATTTGTACTTAAAAGCAGTAAAAAACAGGCAAAAATTTTTTTGTAAGGTAAAATAACAAATATCTCTAAAAATTGTAAAGCCAAAAACAAAAGGCCACTGCATAAATAATTTACGGTAATGATTAAAAATAAGCTGGTTTTTAACTAAACATTTGTTGAATTAAATGTTTTAACTCTTTAAGTTGAAAAGGATAGTTTGGCACAAAAGTAAGATATATAATATAGGAAATAATTTTTTTTACCTTGAGAGTCACCATTTAATTTGCCCTGACCAGTAGAAGTTTTCATGATTTTTGATCTGGCATCAAACTGCTTATTTACTGTTGTTGAAGGCCTTTTTAATCCTCTCTGCAAACTTCTTGATTGAATATCTTAATCAAAAAGTTCGAATTCTTGTTTTATTGATATATATATATATATATATATATATATATATATATATATATATATATATATATATATATATATATATATATATATATATATATATATATATATATATATATATCTTGGTGAGGTACGGAGTACTGGCACCTTTTTCAATGTGGGGGAAAAATGTATTACTTTTCTTGTATTTTTAATTATTGGTTAATTATAAAATAAAACTGTTTTAGACATTTAGTATCTTTGCAGTTGTGATTTAGCTTGCATCGAGGTGCTAACAGGTAGTTAAAAGTTAGGCATTCCACCACTGAGTACCGGCACCTATTTTTTATTACAAAAAAGCACTGTACATATTAACAATACTTGTATTACATAGTAACTTTAATAAAATTTTATATACCTGAATCCTCATTCATTTCAGAAGAAAAGTCATCTCCACCATGACAGTCATCTAAAATATCATCCAGGACATTTTCGCCCTCCACAACTGTGAAATAATTAGAAACTTTTTAACAGCACTATTATTTTTTTTAAATTCACATTTAAAACAGAATTATATAAAATACATTTTAATATATAAATGTACATAAAAACGAGAGAATAAAAAGTAGGCCAGATGTGTCAACTCATTCAGTTATCCACAGTTAGCACACAAAAAAATGTCAGTAAGATTAAAGAAAATAAGAAGCAGTGCTATATATTCAGTACTCTATACCACACACTCCCACTCTATAAAATGATGATAAAATAATATAATACTATGAACTAACCACCAGCCTACCACCTGTGTATTTTATGATATAATTTACGCCTATGTCTTAGAAAGAGTCTAATGTTGAATCTTTTAAAAATCAGCTGTTAGCTGAAAACTTGCAGCAAGGATTAGACTGGTTAATTATGAACTACATGTCTTACAATAACTAGTAACTTGCTCTGCAATCTATGTTAACTGCTTAGATGATAAAACATCAGGTTTTCAAAGTTTTGTAAGATTAAGAGAGAATGACAAACTTGTATTCTTTTTTTATGCAACATTAAAACACTGGTAATAATTTGTTTGAGACAAGCCTATATTATTTTTTAAAATTCTTATACCAAAAAAACTATTTTTTTTTTACTTGAATAGGTATGAAGTAAAAGTAGTTACAGTAAAAATTTAAAAAAAAAACTATGAGATTTTCAGTGTCTCAATCAAGCACCAGCTTTTTCTGTGTTTGAGTTGGCGGTTGATGTCACACAACTCTTAAACACAATATTAGCCATTTTAATAATAAAAATATGTAATAACAAAATTATAGGCCTACAGGAAATGTTTAATCTCATTATTTAATAAATTAGCCAATTAATGGTTTAGGTTAAGGCAAACACGCAACACTATGCATGCGTGATATGTGGACTGACCAATTTAAATTAGATAGTTTATTATACTGTTTTGAATTTACATTTAAAAACTTAACTCATTGGTTGAAGCCACGCTGGGGGCTCTATTTGCCAAGGATTCAAAGGATTGATTCTAAATATTATCCAAGTCCAGATGGTCAGATGAAGCAGTCCCAACTATTTCTGGGCATGAGGCCTTGCCACCATTATTTTACTGGGTGAACTCAGGAATTATCTACAGATTCTACACTTTTGATTAAACTTGAGACTATGGTTAGAAATTGCATGCTAGCCACCCCCCCCCCTTAATGATTCACGTGTCTGCCTAGTTCACCCCCAAATTGAAAAACATATTTGAAACTGCAATTTCTTCTTTAAAAAATTACTAGATCTGAGCTGGGTCAATATTAGTTTTTAAACTGTGAGAAGGAAAAACTCTTTGAAATGCAAAAAGAGTATCAATGGCAGTGAAAGATAGTATGTATCACTCAATATTATTATTATTATATTAGCCTACTTCCTGACTTTACCAATTACAAAAACCCTATACCCTAAGGGGTGTTGGTCACATGAAATTTGAAAATTTAGCAAGACGCTTCAATAGTTTTTATTCACTCTAAAAGTAAACCCAAAACTAAAATGTAGGCCCAACTAGTGGTAGCAGATGTTACTTCAGTTATAAAGATGAACTACATGTTAAAATACAACAAAATAATCGAAAGTGTCTATTTGTAGTTAACTGCAAATAGCTTTCAGAAGCCTATTCATAGTTCGCTATTTTTATCGGACCAATCAAATTTATTTTTAAATTTATCCATGCATGCATATTTTTTTTTATTATCTTGCCTATGAGACTACTTTTCGACAATTTTATAACTGTTTGACAAGGTCGAAGTGGTTGAGCATCAAGTACTGGTACTTTGTTTTCGCAGCATGGGTTGTATTTAGCTTTTTTTCTCTAATTTACTTTCGGGTCTAGGGGTTTAGCATTAGGGATTAGTAGGTTTTGGGTTAGGCATTGCGGTTAGGCTAGGCATTAGGTTAGGGCTAAGGTTAGGCCTTAGGGTTATTCATTCGGGTTAGATCTAAAAACATTAGTTCTACATAGTACATAATAGAACATATTGCATAAATAATAAATTTATATAAGAATCACAGAAAAATGCCTTGCTCTAATTGATCAGAGTACGAATAGTCTTCTGAGGGCTATTTGTTTTGTAGTGAATTACTAGATCTAATAGCCGCAGCCAAATAGAGATTAGTCAGTGACAGTCGCTGCATAAAAAATGTTTAAAAAGCTACATGACTGCTGATTCTCATACTGATATACTCATCTCATCAGACATTGACAGACATCAACGGTAAAACTCCATTTTAGCGTATTTTATTCCCGGCTTCATGTTCACCTCTAGTTGAGCGTATTTTATTATAAACACAACCGAAACACACAAAAACGTTAGGAAAACACTAGATCTACTAATTTTTTTATGAATGTGATTTTTAATTAGAAAAGGTAAAAAAAAACCATAAAAAAGCATTAGAACTGTTCCAATTAAATATCGTGTGATCGTCAGCGGGAGAAAAATCCTTACACGGTCGCGGGTTCACCGTGAGTTCACATTTACTTTAATTATCAGCATACGTCATAGCTCGGGCAATAGCTGTTTGAAATTGTGTTGGCCTCACTTTTGGGGTCATTGTAAGTTCATTAGGCCTAATGTTTATTTATAGTATCATGCCTGGAAGATACTTGTAACAATACAAACTTAACCGCCTTGCAATTGTGAGTTACGTTTACAACTTTACGTACTTCACCCATTGCCATGAACATTCTAACTGACACACTAACATTGCATATTCAATATTCTAAATTTGGATTTTTCTCAAGTTTTGACAAAAGTAAATTATCAAAATCCAAAACAAAGTCAGTCTCTTTGTTTTTTTTATTCATTTGTTAAAACAAAAATACAATACAAATAAATAAATCATGTTTACCTAATGTTTTGGTGTGTTTCGGTTGTTATAATAAAATACGCTCAACTGGAGGTAAACAAGAAGCGGAGAATAAAATATACTAAAATGGAGTTTTACCGACATCAACTACTCTGCTGCTGCTGTCTGAGCAACAAATAACACTTAAGTTGAGAAGTAGACTTCTGCCACCTGTATGCCTAGACTAGATCTAGATGTGTTTTTTAATGGGTTTTTTGTCTTTTTACTGCGTTATTGCGCAGTCCGTCAGTTTCTTCCATTTTTTTAACAATCATCATGTCCATTCCGATTCTGAGTGAATGATCGACTCATCATTTCATCGATGTAGGTTACTTAAGAAAACGTTAGTACTCTGAACAATGTATGATATATAACGTTGTTTACCTTTGGATTTAAAGCTCATTTTGTTCGAGTTATAAAATTAGCCGAGTTTTATCACCAAATAAGTAAACATTGAAACTATTTCGACCGAAATGTATCTATCAACAAAGAAATATTTGCCATCAAACAATGGCGACCGTTTCTACACTACCAGATTTTTCAAAGTTTCTGTTCCTAACAACTTTTTTGACAAAAAAATCCAGGAAACAGAACGGGGGGGAAAAAAGAAAAAAAAAACTAAATAAGAACAAAATGTTCAATGTTTATTGTAGGCCTATACCTTCAAACGTAGGAAAATGTGATTTTCCACTTTTTTTTCATTAGCTGATGTCATTAATTTTTTTTTTTTTAATTTTTCAGAAAATGTTCTAATGTGCGTGTGGGCTTTTTCATTTCTCCCGTTGTTATTCCCGACACAGTGATACCCGGCTGATAAGTAAGATGTCTTCTCATACTATCACCACATTAGCTTTGGTTAATTTTTAAACATAAATTAATTCCCGAATTTTTAAAAGTGATATTTTAAAGATGAAAATGTTTCGATTTACCGACGATACTGTCTGCATGTGGTCATGGCTTGTGGGACCCTTTGTACTGCATGAGCAGGCCTATATAATGGGCTGCTCTGTCACAATATCGATGAAGCGGCAGAACTACTGAGTCGCCAATTCCCGAAATAGGTGCAGGGGGGGGGGGGCAGTCGACCGTCGGTTAATAGTTAACCAGTGTAAGAGCGCACAATTGCTAACCAGAGAAGTCCCGAATTCGAATTCCCGGGATGACCCTCGTTTGCTGGTGACAGCAACCAAACTAGGAGAAAAAAAACTCTTAATCTGACAACTGCTGCCTTGCCGATATTTTAAAAACTCCTTCGGCGACACAATCAACAATATTTCATTTGAAGCTTCTCAAACCGAATCAGTAGCAAAGGCGTAATGCCTAATAACATTCTTTTGAACTATAAACGGCAATGTCGATGCATGGTTAACCTATAACATTTTTATATGATTCCTATGTGCACGACAGTACGACTGGATAGAATTTCACTTCTCTTGGTGCATCCATTGTCTCCGGGAGCAGAAAGGAGCCATAGGGCCTATATAAAAATTAATTAGTCAAAAGCTTTTTTTTTTAAAAAGACGATACTGTACGTGACCATATTGAAATACCAATGTATCGTCAGACTCCTTTCATGCACTATACTACAGCGCATCCAAAATGAGTTGGTGTGTGATCGTTTGTTAAGGGGCCGATCCAATTTGTCGGTCCGACCAAAAGTCAGCACATAATTTTTATTAAAATTTGAATAAGTTTAATATTTTTGTTTTCGAACTATTTATAACGCACATCTTTGCCCTAAATTATATACGCCTAAATATATATATATATATATATATATATATATATATATATATATATATATATATATATATATATATATATATATATATATATATATATATATATATATATATAGGCTATATATATAGGCTATATATAAATTATATATATATATATATATATATATATATATATATATATATATATATATAATTTATATATAGCCTATATATAGGCATTTATATAAATATATAATAGATATGTGTGTAGGATATATATATATATATACATACAGAGGCGTAGCGAGGTCGGGTGTCACCCGGTGCGGCACTTAATGGTGTCACCCCCCAGAGGCGTAGCGACCCTCCCCGGGGACAAACTTTCAAGTTTTCGATTTGCACCCCCCCCCCCTCAAACTATCGATTTGCACCCCCCCTCAAGTTTTTCTCTATATATTTTGCTATTTTTTGCCTTGGTGTCACTCCCCTAAATGGTGTCACCCGGTGCGGTCCGCACCCCCCGCCCTCCCTCGCTACGCCCCTGTATACATATATATATATATACATATATACATATACATATATACATATATATATATATACATATATATATATATATATATATATATATATATATATATATATATATATATATATATATATATATATATATATATATATATATATAATAGCCTATATGACTATATAGCCTTTATTTTAAACGTTACTTTTAAACTTGTTCCTTGTTTTTTAATCTTGTCTTACATATGTCAAAAAACGTCACAAGGCGGGGTGCGGGGATGCGGACCGCACCGAGGGACCGAGTGACACCGCTTAAGGTGGGGGCTGGGGGGGGGGGGACAAAATAAATAAATAAATAAAGCTATTTTAATAGAAAGGCGGCTTTTTTCAACTTAGTTTAATAGCTTATTTAAGTATATTCATCATTTAATAGCCAATGATAATACCGCCAGGGATAGGGGTGGCACGTAACGGTTTTTAACTTTAGTCTACCATACATATAACCGTTAGTAGAGGGGGAGGCAGGGGCGGAACTACAGTGCCGCCAGACCCCGCAATGCGGGGGGGGGCCCACGCCATTTAGGGGCCCAGAGCCGACCATAATAAATTTTTTTTATAGTTAAAAAAAAGTAAATTTTCTTTCATTTTTGACTTGATGGTTGTTTTGTAAAAAATTACCGTAGCTGCGTTTGGATTATCTTTATTCTATAGACACCACCCCACGCTCTTGTTTCTTCTTTTTCCCATTGTTTTTAAACAACTTTAAAAGCCGAGTCTTTCTCCTACAATTAAACTTATCAAAGATAAGCAAATGTTCAAACCACTTCCATGACTTATTTCCCTTTTTAAAAAAATAGTCAAATAGGGGTGATCATAAGCTCCTTTTAATAGATTTGTACTAAACAAATTAAAAAGCAATTACTTCTCTTAATTATTATTTTTTATAAGTAACTACTAAAGAATAATATTGTATAAAAGGGAAATGTATTGAAATGTATTAAATCAATAATATTTTAAACATTAATATAATAACTACAAGAAAAAACATAAAAATAAACATAACACGAGACACCATTACTTATACAAAGCTTTCATATTTTATATTATTTTGACCGACAGGATGATAAAAGGGCTTCTATCAAAAATTAATTAAAACTGATTTTCTCAAAACACACTAATGCACTTACACACATGACATGATGTTGACATTTTTTTTAATTGATGTTTTTCAAATCCCGAACAGGACAGCAATGAGTATCCTATGTTCGTATTTTGTGATTGTATGTATATATATATATATATATATATATATATATATATATATATATATTATATATATATATATATATATATATATATATATATATATGGGGGGGCCTAAAAAATTTTTTTTGCGGGGTGGCCCTTTTTTTCTAGTTCCGCCACTGGGGGGAGGGGTTGACATCCGGGGTTACAGCACCTGGCAACACCCAGCCTAGT